AAGAAAGGCCAATCCAGGTGCTAGACGAAAAGGTTAATAAAATAAAGAACAAGTAGATTCCTTTGGTTAAAATCTTTATAGGAATCGCAACGTGGAGGAGGCTATATAAGGGAGAGAAGCTAAAATGATATTGAAGTATCTAGAGTTATTTGAGTAATTTAAATTCCGATAATAAAATTTTTATAAGGAAGGGAGGATGAAATACTTAGATTTAATTTCTATGCTTTGTGTGAATATTTATTTTTGTTAAGTATTTTCATGCCATGATTATGTTATTAATGATAAGTGTTTTGTTTGCAAAATTAATATTTGCTAAGTGTTATGTGTGAACATTGAATTAATTGACAAGTAAAAGATTTAGAAAATATAGTTTAATTAAATAATTCTCATACATATATAACTTAGGATTAAAATTTAATTAGTGACCCAAACATGTATTAATTTAGGAACTAATATTCTTGTTAGGAGTTTCACCTAAATTAAAATGTCTAAGTGTAAAATAACCACCTTAGGACATGCAGATCATTAAGATTATTTTAGACCAAAATTTTGGCCAAGAGAGGGAAATAAAAGGGGGAAATTTTTGCTTATTTTTTCACTTGACATTTTATTTGCCTTCATCCATATTTAAGAGAAAGCTTGAACACTAAAAGAGAAAGAAAGCAAGAGAGACCAAATCATAAGAGATAAAGTAAGAGACAATCAAAATATACCGAAGGAAGAAGTTGAATTATCCAAAGGCAGACAAGATTGGCCAAAAGGAAAAGAAAATTACTAAGAGGGAGAGGGTGTTATTTTGATCGAAAATTTAGGCAAGGAAAAGAGGTGTGATTTTTAGGGGTTTTAAGGTGATTTCATCTTCAATCAACCTAAGATAAATGTAACCTCAACTCACTACAAGACTTTAGACTAATTATGTATTGAATTGGAGATTTGTATTCTTGTGAAACCTAGGATTTCTAATTGTGCATTTGATTAAATTAAGTTCCATTGATGTTTGGATTGTGAAATTAAACAAAGATTAGTTGTGATGATGTTATGGGATGTACTTAATTGATGATGGAATGTGTTAAATGATGTTTTCAAGTAAATTTAGAAATTTTAAGGTTTAGGTTAGTTACTAAATAGAGACTTTACATTGTGGAGTGATTGGATAAGCATTAATTAATACTAACTGAAAAATGACCATTTTATTAATGATGGATAGTTATTTAATTGTTGATTCACAATGGGTAATGTGGTGCTTATATGGAATTAGATTTAGGCTATGTGACTAAGTGTTGGTTAACCTTTATTGAATAATATACTTAGTTGTGGTGATCGGTAGGTATGAATTGATTATTATACATCATGATGGTAATGGATATGTAATTAATTGAAGATTTACCATAGTATTCGTTAGGTATGTAATTAATTGTTGATTGGATTTATTAAGATGGAGAATTCGGCTAGGGTTTATTGGTGTTTTATGCTTATTGAAATTTGGCTTAAGCTTGATGAAAGGATGATTCATTGAAGTTTAATGGATTTGTTTTGGTTGTGACTATTTGTTATTAAAAAAATGGTTGATTGTGAGAGACTTGATAGATTCAGCCTAAGTGTATGTTTATTGTAATTGGCTTTTGTTTGTGTATTAGATAATGGTGTTGTTGTTTGATGGATTTAGTTTACTTGTCGTTATTTGGTTTGGTTAGTTAAATGATTGAATGATTGTATTGTTATAAGATGATTTGATTTAGGTGATGTTTTGCTTATGGTTGCTCGGTTTGATGGATGGTTATGGATTAGGTAACTACTTGATATCATTTGATTATGTGTCTAGGTGTTTAAGAGATATTTGAATGATTGAGATGTTCTAAGATGATTCGACCTAAGTAGGTTTAAATGAAGAACTTGTGCTCATGATGACATGTGATGAATTCGACCAATGGCCATGGAATTGTTCGAGGTTGTTATGGCATGATGGATTTGGATTAAAGGAAATAATTTAGGCGAGCTTAAATTATGTTCATTATTGGTTTTGGCATGATTGGTAAAATAGTTAGAGGGTTATGTGTTGTGATGATTCAACTTAGGTAGGTTTAATTTTAGATTGTATATTTGTGTCTTGTGATTGATTCGGCCTATAGCCATGGAAATGCTCAATGTTGTTTTAAGGCTTAGTGTTTAGGCCTACTCATGTCATGTTGATTATGTTCACAAATGTCTTAATGTCATATGATTTGTGTTCATGTTTATGCATGGTGTTCATGAGATGGTTTTACGTGGATTGTGTCAATGAGATGGTTTTATATGGTTATGTTCATGTAATGACTTAGTGTATGTATAATGGTTGCATTCACATCATGAAATGCTTTATGTCATGATTTCAAGCTTTCAAGAAAGGACATGTACATGATTATTTGAAGACATTACATGGCTAGACAAATTCAAGAGGGACAAAGAAATTATCAACCCTTATGAGGTTCATTGAATCAAACATGTGTTGAGCCTTTATGGCTAAAGAATGTTGAATTTATATACATTCGAGCAGGTGCACCCGAAAGACAGAAAAAAAAATTCAAATATGAAAAATAATGATTTTCATTGCATTCATGCATATTTATATTTATTGAGTTTAGCTCATTTTATTTGTCTTATGATGTAGATAGCAATGCTTGAGGATCGGTTAGATGTGTTAAGGATGCTCGGTCGTGAACTATAGAGTTTGCGAAATTATGTATTACGAGTCTAGGTTTAAAGTTTGAAGGTTAAACCATTATTAGGTTTCGACCACTTTTAGTAATTGTCTTGATTTGGCCATTTTGATTTGTAAATGATAAACTCTTGTTATATATATATATATATATATATATGAGATTAACGGTAAATGAAATGTTTATGGGCGAATTAGGTTTATTAATGAATTAGGCTCGAATTATGCACTTGATAGTTTTAATCTAATTATGGAAATGAAATGGCATCAAGTAATTATAATTATTTTAGGTTTATGCTTTAATTCAAGAATAGAAATGAAATGGTTGAGATTATGCCATGTGTTGCGAAAAAATTATTACCATTATACGTCAAATCTCAAGAAGTCTTGAACTTTAAACCGAATAAGAAATTTCGATGTGCATTGTCATAAAGATTCGGGATAGAAGACACAATGCATTGTCTTGCCCTCTTGAGTGAGACAGAGACAATGCGGTAGCACTCTCGACTCCCTATTAGGTCATGGATAGGTCGTGGATAATATATATATATATCTATATATATTATCCATGACCTATATATATACACACACACACAAATACAATGAGAGACATTTAGTATGAGAAAAATGAAACAAATTTTTTAATAAAACTACATTTTGGTGTCTAACCATTGATTTTCTTTTTTTTTTTCTATTTAAGTGCCCAATTTTTAATTTTTTTATATTTCATTGCCTAACTTTTGATTATTTTATTATTATTATTATTTGAATGCCCATAGCCACATGAGAGTATGGAGTGGTAATGTGTTTGGAGTTGAGTGCCAAGTGGCTTTTTGACTCGTCACATGGTATTTTTGAATGCCAAATGACGACTCTCACTCGAACACGTTAGTAAAATTAAACTTCAAGTGAATTCGACACCAAAACAATAAAAAAAAAAAATTAAAGATTATGTAGCAAATTTGTAGAAATCAATGGTTAGACACCAAAATACAAAAAAAGTTGGGCACAAAAATATTGTTCTCTCTAAAATATATTAGAGAATCAAGGCATTATGTAAGAGCAAATTTAGCTATTTATCTTTTAAAATTGAGCTATTTATATTTCTCGTACAAATTTAAGCCAGAACTGTCCCCCTCATCTGCACTTTCTTCAAATCAATTTCTTCCGCAAAGCATATTTTCACGACTGAGCGGCAACAAACATAAGTGGAGTTACTTAACAAAGAAAACTTGAAAGATTCAATGACTTGCGATTTTGCAATTGAAGTTTAGAATATATTAGTTGTGCAATGATACATTCCGTGCCTATTTCTATACTGCTGGTCCGTTTGGGGGTAACCAGATCCTATAAGCCATTCCCAAATGAGGGCGTAAAGCATTCAAAATAATAGGAACTGATTACTTAGCCAAATTTTAGGTGTTTTTTAATACTCCTAAGTAAATAGCATCTAGCCGACCATTTGATAAGTATAATTGCAATGATTAAGGTTCCCTGCTTATAATAATTTACTTCAAATGGCAGGTTCTGACCATATTCTTTCACTTAATTTCTTGTGTCAAAAAGAAAATGTGCTGGCTTTTGTCTATATCACAGGCGAACTGAACCAACATCCTCAACTTCCTACGGCCTTCTTATTTTTTCGTATTTATTTAAAAGTAAAGATTGCCCAAGGAAATTATATCATAGTATTGATCAATGAATACAACCATTACCCACGAATGGATAATTGTTGTTAATGCATTGCATCAACAATTACCCACGAGCGAGGGGAAAAATCAGCACAATGCACAAATGATATAATTGGATCAAACTTAATTATTGATTTTTGTTTACATTTAGGCAACTATGTGACAACCACTCAGCAAACACTAAGTTTTGGGCTCACCACAAAGATACCAGGAAGGAATAGTGAACAAGAAACCTAAAATTCATAAAGGGAGCCTTTTTCCCAAACCTTATTTTCCAACTTATTAAGAAATGTTTATTGTTTACAAGGTGAAGATAATTCTTCTTTTTCTCTCACTATATGAGTCTGCAGAATGACAAAAGGTAACTAGCTGGTTTATTCCATTCCTTTTTTTTTTTTTCCTCTCTCTCTTTTTTAACAAGAGCAGTTGTATACACATAAGGAACAGTTTGAGAAAAAAGCAGATAACGCAAGAGCTTCTCATAACCTTTTCATGTCTGAGCTTTTGCCTTTTTCTGTTCTTTGGCTGACAGAATAGATGGAACTAGTATTAGCTTCCTGTGGAAGAAATATTCAACACATATATAGCAATAGCACTAAGTTTACTCAATAACGTTATGCTTCCCCCTTACTTTCCAAGAATACTTTTATAACAATGTGATGAAGTGAAGCAAAAATAGAGCCATGTGAAATTTAGGGCAGGCAGACAGCCAGACAGACAAAAGGACCTTACCAGCTTTATCTTCTTCTCGCTTCCTAGCAGCTTCTGCCCTTCGTTGGCGTATCAGGGCCAAGCGTTCTACAAATATCAGTAGAAACCATGAAAAGAGAGGACATATGTAGGGACTCCAAAATGAAAAATTATTAGATAGTACTGGATTAATTTCTTTTTTTTATTTTTTTTAAAAACATATCGGCCACTAGCCAGCCTATAATTTTCAAGTGTGAGATTTCAGTTTCTTTGCAATTGGAAACAAAAAAATCCAATATGAATATTAGATCCTTAAATTCAAAGGTAAATTCATCAGAATGTCTTTCAACCATCAACTCAATTACTACAACACACAATTATATTTTGTTTCCCTAAATTCCCAAGACAACAGTTCTAGCTTTATTTTCAAAACTTCTCACTATAATGATTTTTTGAAGTGCCATATGTCTAACAAGAAAGCTGAATTGCATTAAATTTAATAGGATAGAATAGAAAATATTGAAAAAACAAAAACCAAACATTTGCAGCCTCAGGTCAATCTCTATTCTGAAGAAAAGCACTCTCATCCTTCTTGAAGAACTGCCAAGGTTTGTCGCAAGGTTTGTTGCAATGAATTTTTCTGGTGTTGTTTATTCTACTATTTCTTCTAAGCTAGAAGGATGACTCTTTCTTCTTTGAAAAGATGTTGTTTCAAATAGAAACTGAAAAAGGAACAAGGAATATGAAAAAGAAAAAGCTTTCTTCACCACAAAGCGACCCAATCTAACGTGAGAACTGACTCGTTCAAAACAAAAATGCCCTTAATGGAAACTGAAGTTAAATAATTAGAGACATTTTTTAACAATTCACCAATTACACTCTAACCTAATGACTAAAATATTCATATACTACAAAACCATGACAGTTAATGTATCCATTTACTCTTGTATATTGGGCATATTTCTCATATATACTTTTAAGATACTTTTCACACAAAAATTAAATTAAAAAACAACAAAAGAAATTTAATTAAAAAATTAGAAAAAAATTTGAAAAAACATGAAACATAAAAACCTGATATGTCCCCCAAAAAAATGAAATAACCTATAAAAAATAAAATAAAAAAAGAAATTGATAACTAATGAAAAATTTGAAAATTCCATGTTTTGCAAATTTTTATTTTTATTTTTTTTCCGTTGTAGACATATTTCTATTCACAAGACTTTATGAACATGTTTTTTCTATATTTCATATTTGACAAGTTAATATTATTTTTTAAAGGTTCTTTCTAGTTTTTTAAAAATGTTTTTATGGGTTTTGTTTTTTTAGGTCTTTTTATGTTTTTAAAATATTTTAAAGTTAAATTTTCTTTTAAATGGTTGTGCGGCATTTTGGTCTAAAAATAACAAAAAGGACATGAAAGAAAATAAAAATATATATGGGCATATAGAAGGAAAAAAAAAAAAGAATATGGAAGAATACCATTAGGCAAGTGTCAAAATGTACATATTTTTGACATTCAAAGCTAAGTGCAACTTCTTTGCGTTGCCTCTGCCTATTCTAATCTTGGCAAGAGTTTATCGATCACTCTTCCTTAAACACTTTCAGGCCTTGGAATGCTGCCCAAATAATTCAAAAATTGACATCATTTTACCGTTGTATACCATATTGGCATCCTTCTATTTACCACAAAAGAAATAAAGAATTTGTTTCATGTCATTCAAAACTAGGCTTTATAGAGACTAGGACCAAATTTATATAATTACCAATCCAAAGTAACTCAAAGACTAGAAAATAAATCATAGAGAAGATGCCTATCTATAAAAAGGAGTCAAAATCCATTATCGTAGATTTACTTTTTTAGAAACCTTGCTTTCTAATAACAACTTTGTCATTTCCACCTTTCTGTTTTCGACCATAGTAACTGTCTCTCAATTGATGTAGTTTTCTAATGTCCGTAATGAACTTTATTGGAAGATCATGGTCAACAAACCATACCATAATACTCCCTTATGGTCTGAGTCAAAAAACCAGCAGTACTTCCATGAACTGGAGAAAACAGATCTTCAAAGACAATTATGATTTGATACAAACCTGTGGAGTAGATTCCATCTAAAAAAATCATGAACCAAATTGACCTTGACAAATCCAATCACCTTCTCCTAATACATATTCTATTTGTATGACTAAACAAGCGATACCATTATACAGAAGCAGTCATGTCATATGTGCCCATAGGAGTTTTAATCAAGCATATCAAATTGATGGGAAAAGCCAAAGAGGAGGATTGTTAAGGCACCAGACCTCAGCCAGTTATTTATTTGCAACCTTGTTTTGATGCCAAATTAATCATGGATGAACAGAAAGCCCAATGTATAAATTCAGGACAAGTTTGATTCAATATGCATTGGCACTCCCTATGGTGAGTTTTGACAATATTATATATAAAATTCAATGAAGTATGAGGAAAAATGTAAAAAAAACAAGTTGGTAACGATCTTCAATATCCAGTAATTACCTAAATTTTTTCTTGCTTGTTCAGTTTTTCCTTGTTCCTGCAGCTTCATATTTCGTTCATGAGCTTCCTGTTTCTCTATTTCCTCTCTACAAGCAAGAGTACTCAAGAGTAAGTCAACAATGGAACCCTTTAAATAGACACTTGGAAGCGTTGGAATATGCAAGAGACAAACATCAGAAACAAAAGACTCCAGAAAATAAACCACAAAGCTATAAAATCTTAATTTTAATAAAAACATACAATCAAGATTTGTTCTGCTTTCAGGATAAGAAGGTTCATATTCACAATCCTAGGGCATCTAACATGTACATTTAATAATTTGAGTCTGTACATTCCAAAGAGGAGAACAACATCCATACAATTACACCATGATGACCACTTGATATGCGAGCATATCTCTATTAATGGAGCATATGTTCCAAAACTCAGACCAGAGTAAAGCACTGTTCAGAGTAATAAATGGCACTGTTTATCTGGATATAATATACAATCTTATCTTATGAGATATCACCCACTATTTCAATAAAAATCATTTTTCTCATTTGAAGAAACCTATTAATCATACATCTAGATATTTAACAATGGATTCCAATAATATTCCCAGCTACTGTTTACTTTTGGAGCGAAGGGTGGATCAGGGCAAGCTGACTGAACAATTTCAAATAAAATAAAATAAATAAATAAATAAAATAAAAGCATCTGGAATTAGACCAACATAGGCATTTACACAGTGAAATAGTGTCATCTGCTAGCATACCCTTATCCCACTAAAAGGGAACTCCCCGGTCCTTTATTCATCATACTGCATATTGATGGAGGCATCAAAAATGGATTGAAAAAAAAAAAAAAAAACACTACTATTTGGTAAATAAAAAAGATTATGCTTGTTGTGCTCCACCAGATCCAAAATCCTCTAATAATTGGTGTAAGAATTTTCACACTGGATTAACTTCTAAGTTGCAAAACTATAATACTAAATATGTAGGGGTAGCATGCTAAACAAGGCACCTCAAAAATTCAAATAGATCCAAATCACAAAGGTAAAAATAAATTCAGTTAAAAATATATATATATATATATGTAACGGAATCAGTGCGCAGAGTATTAGTTTCCACATTCGCACATTGATCACATGCATAAGCAAATTACTGCTTGAAATGAATTGAAGCAAGAAAATAGCTAACCTCTCACGCCTTGAGAGTTCAGTTGTTTTCCCAGTCTGGAAAATAAAATTTTGATGACTCAAAACAATTTTTTCCAAAAAGAAAACTGGAACAGTGAGCAATTTGAAAGTGTCACAACTTACGTCAACATCTTTAGCCTTCAAATTTTTCGGCTTTACTAAATTAGGGTTGTCGATTTCAATGAATCCCAGGGTGCCTTTCCGCTTCTGCCAAAAATTTGGAGCCAACTTCAGGCCAAATATTAAGAAAGAAACCCAAATGCACAATTGTGACTGCCAAGGAGGACACTGACCTCAGATGGTTCCTCCAATTCTTCTTCAGACTCTTCTTCTACCTTCTCTGCTGCCTCGGCCTGAAATATTCAAATCAAACTGACTGCTTTATTACGCACTGAAGCACGTTTACAACTTCCAATGTGTATAATCCAGCATGCTCGTGTATATATATAGGGAAGAGGGAACTAATATGTACAACTGAGTAGATAAAATCTAAAATAGAAAACTTGTATCTCTCAAGTATGGGTTAAGATATGCCGAGCACAACAGCGCTAAGGGTGATACCTGTTTAAAAGTGCGAGGGCGAGCGGCGGAGGTACCGGCAACTGCAATCATTTAAGGAATAAATGCAAAATCTCATCAAGTGAGTTCATATGAGATGAAAGTATTATAAAGAATCAACATGAAGAAGAGGACATAAAAATGCATTTAAATAAGAGAGGAAGAGGAGAGGGGAGAGTATTGACTGAGTTCTTCAAGCGTAGAGAAATGGCGATGGCCAGTGGGTTTGCCTTTGAACTTTCCTCTACCCATTTCTTTCTCCTTCAAGACAAACAAGAAATGCTGTAGCTTTTTAGAATTTGATGAGTGACTCTCTCACTGCCATTCCATTCAATTATATATAGCACAGCATCTTTTGGACCCACCAAGAACCTAGCTTTTTTTCTTTTCTATTTTTTCCTGTTTTCTTTGGTGCAATGCAATTGCTTCGAGAATCCACTCACAAGAAAGAACCCATAACAGTTTCTTTCTTGTGGTAGAGAAAGTGATAAAAGATGCTTGACCCATGATCATGATCATGAAAAGATGTTCTTTCTTAGAGGAGAGATCGATGCTTCGAAACTTCATTATTTGTCGACAGAGTAGAGCACTCCCATTTCCAACTTGCTAATTTTTTCCAACTTCAGATTCTTCGAGAATTTGTTCTTAGCAGAAGGAAAAAGCATTGCCCCTTTTCTTTTTTTCCCCTCTCTTTTTTTCCCGCTCTTGGACGTGGTCACTACTCTCAAAAATAAAAAATAAAAAAAAATAAAAAGAAAAGAAAAGAAAAGAAGAAGGAATCATACTAATTATGATATGAAAGAACAAACGTGCAAATGAATGTTTATATTATTTTCACATGAATGCTCATAATTCTTAATTTAATTTAATTTATTATTTAATATAAAAAAATTAAAAATAATATAATTGATTCAAATATTTATATATTTTTTAATTATTCATAGTCTCTTTCAATTCTTTTATTAATCTTAAAGCTTATAAATAGATTTGATTATTTATTAGTTCGTGTTGAAGTGCTTTGTAGAAATTTTAAAAATTATTTTAGAGTTGCTGCATTTGTATTCACTTTATTTCATAATGAAATCATTTTTTATTATTTTTCTGTCTAATTCTATTATTGCTACTATATGTTTTATAACACGTTATCAATATGAAACTCTAACCAACCGAGATAATAGACCATAATATATATATTTACAAAAAGACTCAATCATTTGTTTCAATCATTGGATTGTTTTTTTGCACGAGTGATCTATCGAAATGTCTAGATCATTAAAATATATGTATCCAATTTATCGTTAATTTTAAATCTAATAATACATTGAGTATAAATTTGAAAAACTTAAATAATTTAATATATAAAATATAATGCTCTAATATATATTGTTTGAAAAGTTTAAATTTTATTATTATGTTTGTTCTTCTTTCCTAATATTATTATTATATTTTGCATCAAAGAATTTTTATCCTCTAAAACTTCACAAAACTTGATTTTGTGATCTTTACATTTTAGGCAAGAATTATTAATCATGGGTGCTTGATAGTAAAAAAGTCTCTATTTTTCATGCCTCGAATGTGCTTTTGCAAGCAGTAATATCAAAAAAAGGATTTTAAGAAATGTTCCGAATTGATTTAATTCTTATTTGTAACTAAATAAAATAACAAGCTATTGATGAAAAATCATAAATCCTATCCAACTAGAGTCTGCTCTATTCCCTAAAGTGAATATAGCAACTTACAATAATTCTAGGCATGGACAACGACATAGACATAGCTATAGCCATGGTCGAAATAATTATTATTATAATTGAACGACCATAATAATACACATCACCACTATAAGTGGATAAATATATATTAAAAAAAGAATACAAATAGATCAAATCAACATCCCGAAAATGAATGTTATCGATGTGATATAAACAAACATAGGTTGCATACACGTTGTCCGCCATAGCATCTCGTTAAACCTTAGCAAGGCTCGTTGAAAAAAAAAAGATTAAGATATAGATTCCAATTTTATATATTAAAACTATGACAATTGAAACTAATAACTTATTATCTTTTTATTTATAAATAAGATATTGTTTTATTTTTTATAATTTTATTTTTATGGTAATAGTTATAAATTTATTTTTCTATCTATTTATTTGCTTATTTATTTTATATTAATACTATCCGATAGTATCAATCTACTAGAAAGCTCTAGAAAAACGGATATATTATCATCCGAAGAGACAAATTTTAAAGATTCAAATATATATATATATATCTCATTACTTGAAAGGATAAATTTTAAAGAATTCGAAGGACAAATATATTATTATTTGAAATGAAAAATTTTATTATAAATAATACGTTATTCTCTCTAAAGTCTTATAGAAATTTTTAGTTTTAAAAATATTCATTTAAATGGATATCATATCAAAACAACAAATATAAAAAATATTGAACACTTATATATTATAATTATTACATCGGATAAAAAATACGTATTGAAAAAATTATCCTCTCTTCCGGTCTTTATTATAAACATTCGAATGGTTGAAACAAATACTATAGTAAACCAAAAGTTTACTATTTCAAATACTTTTATTACTTGGCATGACCGGTTGGGCTATCTTAGGTCTTTCATGATGCAAAACATTATTCAAAATTCATATGGACATCCATTGAAGAGTCAAAAGATTTTTCATTCTAATAAATTTTCATGTTCTCGCATGTTCTTAAGTTAAATTGATTATTAAGCCATCATAAAGTAAAATTTAGATTGAATCTTCAGTATTTTTAGAACGTATTGAAGGTGATATATACGGACCAATTCATCCACCATATGGACCATTTGAATACTTTATAGTGTTAATAGATGCATTCATAAGATGATCACAAGCGTATGCTTATTACCTACTCGAAACTTAGCGTTTTCAAGGTTGCTAGCTCAAATAATTTGATTACAAGCATAATTTTCAAAGTATGCAATTAAAATAATTAGCCTTAATTATGCTAGTGAATTTACCTCTCAAATATTAAATGATTACTCGCTTAACTATTAAAATAAAGGTTGAACAGCTTTATTGCTCATATTTATATCCATAATAGATTAGCATAATCATTTGTCAAAAGATTCCAATTGATAACTAGACTATTGTTTATGAAAACAAAACTCTCTACTTATATTTAGAGATCCGCAATCTTATAAATAGCAATACTTATTCGTATTAGACTCATAAATTATCAACAATTCTCTCCCCTTTAATTGTTTCTAGTCATGAACCAAATATTTCTCATCTAAAATTTTTTTACTATGTAGTGTATGTTCCTATTGCTCCTCCATAAAGAACTAAAATGGACTCTCAAAAGAGATTAAAAATATGTCTTTTTTATGAAGCCCCCTCGATAATTAAATATCTTAAACCATTAAAAGAAGATATTTTTATAGCTCGATTTGCCAACCGTCATTTTGATGAAACAGCTTTTTCAATATTTGGGGGAAATAAGTAAAATAAGCAATTAAAAATATTAGAAAAAGAGATTACATGAAAGTACTTCATCTTTACGTCATCTTGATCCTTGCACAAAATAATATAAATTAGAAGTTCAAAAGATAATTCAACTAAAAAGTCTTACAAATTAACCGTCGGATGCATTCTCAAATCCAAAAAGAATAACTAAAATGCATGTTCTCGTTGAGAATGCTCCTATTAGAACTAATGTCCTAGAAGGATAATCTATTAATGTTATAGGAAATGAACCTAAAGCATGCAAAAGCATGAAAGACTCGATAGGTTCTAAAGATTTTTTTTTAAAAAAAAGAGCAAATAATCAAGATACAAATATCAAATAAGTAGATATTCAAAAAACGAGTCCAAGATATTTCTAATAATATACTTCTAAAAGAAGTCTAAATGCTTGAGAAAAATCAATAGACTTTAATAAATTATGTCAATGCAGAAAAAAAGGAGACCGAAAAGAAACATTTATTAATAATATTTTACATATAATGTTGTAATTGATTTTTTGAATAAAAATAAGAACCCCGAGCCTAAAACTATTGAAGAATGTCGACATAGAGATGATTAACCTAAATAAAAAGTGCAATCTAGACAGAATTATATTTTATTACAAAACCATTAGTTTTTAGACTTATAGTTAAAACACCTAAAGATTTTAAGCTCATACAAATAGGTATTTTTATGAAAATGATATAAGAAAGATGAGATTGTGAGATACAAAACTTGTAACACAAGGGTTTTTGCAAAGACCGAATATTGATTCCGAGGAGACATTTTCTCTTGTAATAGATATAATTACATTTCATTATCTCATTAGCCTCGGCAAAATATATGATAATCTTCATATGCATTTATTTAATGAATATGATCATAGCTTATTTGTTCACTTAAATTGATATCTATATGAAAGTCCTAGAAGGACTTAAAATGCTCGAAGTATGTATTACACATTTTCAAAAAATGTATTCAATTAAATTATATAGATCTTTATAAAGATTATTTTAGTATTTTTTTATTATTTTAATTTTAAAAAATTCAATTTATGATATACTTTTTATATTTTTTTATTTTTTAATATCCACTGTTTATTACTAAGCTAGATACTTATGAAATAATTGCCTCATGAATATTTATTGAAACAATGCTATAAAAATAATATTATTTGTTCATATATTTTTATAAAAAAAATTTGAAAAAGAGTTTGTCTATCATTAATGTATATGTTGATGAGTATAATATTATTAGAACTCCTAAAGAGATTTCAAGTGCCATAAGTTATCTAAAAAGAGAATTTGATATAAAATACCTTGAAAAAAAAACTTTTATTTCGACTCGTAATTCGAGCATCTAGAGAATGAGATTTTTATTCATGAGCCAATTTATATAGAAAAAGTTGTACAACGATTCTATATAAAGCTCATCCATTTAATAGTCTAATGATAGTTTGTTCACTTGATATCCAAAAAGATCCTTTCTAACCTCGAAAAGATAATGAAAAACTATTTGGTCTTAAAGTATCATATCTTAGTGCAATTGGTGCATTGATATGTTGCTAATAATACTCGACTTGATATAGTTTTTTTTTTGTTAAATTTATTAGCAAGATATAGTTCTACTTAAATACGAAGACATTGGAATAAAATCAAATATATACTATGTTATCTTTGAGAATAAATTGATATGTTATATCATGGCATTTTATGAAGTACATTATAGCATTTACTTCTTCGAACCATTTAG